CCCTCCTCCCCTCCTTCTCCCCCCTTCCTCCCTTCTCCTCCCCTTCTCCTTCCCCCCTCCTCCCCTTCTCCTCCCCTTCTCCTCCCCTTCTCCTCCCCTTCGCCTCCCCCCTCCCCCCTTCCTCCTCACCCGTCCAGGCCTTCTCCCTCTCCCGCGACTCCGGCCTCCCCTTTTCCTTCCTGGGGCGCCGAGTCAAACGCGCTCACACACACACCCCTCCCCCACCCCCACCCCCCCGCCCCACCTTCCCTTTCCCCAGGCCTTCTCTCTCTCGCGTGACTCCGGCCTCCCTTTCTCCTTCCTGTGGCGGCGGGTGAACCGCGATCGCACGCCCGTGTACGCGGTGCTGCTCACGTGCACCATCGCGATCCTCTTCTGCCTGCCGCTGCTGCACTCCACAACCACCTTCTTCGCCATCACCTCCCTGGCCACCGTGGCGTGGGTGGGCAGCTACGCCGTGCCCATTTTTCTTCGACTGCTTCAACCGGAAGGGGCGTTCAAGCCGGGGGCGTTCAGCCTGCAGCGATACGTGGGGCACGCGGGAAGGTGAGCTCTGGGAATGTGTGAGAAGGGGCTGTAACATGCCTGCCGCTGCTGCACTCCAAAAACACCTTCTTTGCGATCACGTCCCTGGCCACCGTGGCGTGGGTGGGCAGCTATGCCGTGCCCATCGTGCTGCGCCTGCTGCAACCGGAAGGGGCGTTCAAGACGGGGGCGTTCAGCCTGCAGCGATACGTGGGGCACGCGGGAAGGTGAGCACGGGGAATGAGTGAGATGGGGCTGTCTCAACCGGAGGAGGCGTCTAAGCCAGGGGCGTTCAGCCTGCAGCCATACGTGGGGCACGCGGGAAGGTGGGAAATGGAATGTGGAAAGGTGGACATTGGAATGTGGAAAGGTGCTGGGCTGGTGGGAAGGGTAGGTACTGTGAGACTTATACCGTTGCATGTGCATGTGCATGTGGATGTGCATGTGCATGTGCATGTGTCCTTCACTCCCAACCTCCAACCACCCCTTTTGCATGTGCATGTGCATGTGCATGTGTCCTTCACTCCCAGACTCCAACCACCCCTTTTGCATGTGCATGTGCATGTGCATGTGCATGTGTCCCTCACTCCCAAACTCCAACCACCCCTTTTGCATGTGCATGTGCATGTGTCCTTCACTCCCAAACTCCAACCACCCCTTTTGTATGTGCATGTGCATGTGCATGTGCATGTGCATGTGTCCCTCACTCCCAAACTCCAACCACCCCTTTTGCATGTGCATGTGCATGCGCATGTGTCCCTCACTCCCAAACTCCAACCACCCCTTTTGCATGTGCATGTGCATGTGCATGTGCATCTGTCCCTCACTCCCAAACTCCAACCACCCCTTTTGCATGTGCATGTGCATGTGTCCCTCACTCCCAGACTCCAACCACCCCTTTTGTACCCTTCCCAATCCCTACCTTCCCTTCCCATGTGTACCTTTCCCAAAGCTCATAAACGGTGGTGCTCTTTTTTTGCCATGGTCCCCATCTACTTCCCCTCCACCAACTTCCCCTCCACCCCCCTCCACCTACCTCCCCCCCCTCCACCCCCCTCCATCTACTTCCTCTCCACCAACTCCCCTCCCCCCCTCCCCCCTCTCTTGCTGCCCTTCTCTCTCATCCCCCACACTCCTTCCCTCTCATCCCCCACACCCCTTCCCTCTCATCCCCCACACCCCTTCCCTCTCATCCCCCACACTCCTTCCCTCTCATCCCCCACACCCCTTCCCTCTCATCCCCCACACCCCTTCCCTCTCATCCCCCACACCCCTTCCCTCTCATCCCCCACACCCCTTCCCTCTCATCCCCCACACCCCTTCCCTCTCATCCCCCACACCCCTTCCCTCTCATCCCCCACACCCCTTCCCTCTCATCCCCCACACCCCTTCCCTCTCATCCCCACACCCCTTCCCTCTCATCCCCCACACCCCTTCCCTCTCATCCCCCACACCCCTTCCCTCTCATCCCCCACACCCCTTCCCTCTCATCCCCCACACCCCTTCCCTCTCATCCCCCACACCCCTTCCCTCTCATCCCCCACACCCCTTCCCTCTCATCCCCCACACCCCTTCCCTCTCATCCCCCACACCCCTTCCCTCTCATCCCCCACACCCCTTCCCTCTCATCCCCCACACCCCTTCCCTCTCATCCCCCACACCCCTTCCCTCTCATCCCCCACACCCCTTCCCTCTCATCCCCCACACTCCTTCCCTCTCACGAAGCGCATCAACACCAGTGCCCTCCACACCATGGCAACACCCACGGTTCCCACCCGCTTCCATCCTCTCCCTCCCCTCCACTCTTGCGACACGGAGCATCAACTCCGGGCCTCTCCTCTTTGTGCTCTACACCCCGCCAACATCCATGGTTCGAATGTACTTCCCCCTTCCCCCTCCTCGCTTCCCCCCACTGTTCGCATTCCCATTGCCTTCAGGAGGAGCATCAACGCAGGGGCTCTCCTATTTGTGCTCTACACCATGGCAACCTCCATGGTTCCCATGTACTTCCCTGTAACGGTCTCCAACTTCAACTGGTCTAGCTGCGTGCTGCTGGTAACCGTAGCCTTCTTCATCTCCTGGTGGGTTCTCGACGCGCGCCATTGGTTCGTCGGGCCGTACCACAACCGGGCAGGGAACCAGCCGCACACCCTATCAGGCGCTGCCAAATGGTTTGAATGATCCTTGGGGCAGCTGATAAAGTTCTTTTTGCCTGCCCATGGCTTCCTGAGTGGTTGATTTTCGTCTTCTATTTCTTTCTTTGCTTGATTTGCCTCGAAGCATGCTTTCATACTCTTTGTTTTGCATGCCTTGTAGTGTATGTATGTTCAAACATTGGAGATCTTATCTCTCGGTTGTTTCGATGGTTAACAGCGTCACATGTGAAAAATCTTCTTGAAAGGATATGCACAGGTTCTTGTGTGGTTACTGTTCATCATGTACGGTTACGTAGGGATTGTGAAAGCTTGCTTAGGTCCTCTTGTAAAGGCAGCGTGCTTTATTTCATCTGGGAAACATACATGGTTCTCGTCCAACAAAGAAACTACACACAAGAGGGTGCGTGGGCGGGGAAATTGAACTAGATAAACTAGAAATGAAGAACGTGGGTGAGGCCGAATGGCCTCACGTCCCTCTTTTGTAGGCAAAAGAGGGTGAGTAGCGCTTCGTCGCTGCCTATGCTGCGTTGGCCCTCGTTACACTCTCACAATACACAATTTTAGAAAGTGTTACACACTTTCAGAAGATTACATATTGTGAAAGCTTGCTTAGGTCCTCTTGTTAAGGCAGCGTGCTTCATTTCATCTGGGTCTTCTGAGACATGTGCAGAAGGGGTTGGCGGTGGCGTTCAATAGATAGCTGGTGCTGATTGGGCGTGGGAGCGGTGGCTGCGTCTTGGAGTTGCATGGAGGCTTGAAGGAGTTGGTCATGCGCGATGGTAACGTAGAGCTCCTTGGCATTATCGCTGCGCCAACGGCCAAGTCGCTTGAACAGCCGGTCGGATATCCCCAGGCTGGCTGCCGCTGTAGCAGCGCCCTTGCGAAAGGAGTGGGTGCCGAGGTGGGCGCTATCGAGGCCGGCCCTGGTGAATGCTTCAAGGCACCAGTTCCGGATGGCGGTGTACGAAGGTGCGTGGTCCTGTGGAGTTGCCGTACTGCTGTTCCCGAAGACTCGGATCAATGGCCCGTGTGGGGTGGAGGTGTGACCCGCGAGGAGAAGAAAGTGTCGTGTGCAACGTACCGGGCAGTATGGGCCAGAAGTGGCGGCGACCGGAATCCACGTGCCCCTGCTTTCCTGGTCGATCTTGGAGTGCGGGATGAGCAGCCACATCGCCTCAGGCTCAAACTGTATATCATGCCATTGGAGACTGACAAGGTCGGAGTAGCGTAGGAAGGCAGCGAACATAAGGATGGGGATGAGTCCTTTCTGGTACTCGGCCGGCCGGGTGGACTCCAGAAAGGGGCGGGCCATGGTGTGCACTTGGTGCAGCGACAAAGGTTCCTTGTTCCGGGTGGGGCGCGGGCCATGGCGTTTGGCAAATTCGCGCACTTGTAGTGTAAATGGTCCAGTCGAGGGAGAGGGCTCGCCAGTCATGCGATGCGCGAAGGTGACGGCGGAGCATGTAAGCGATATGGAAGATGTGGTGGCCTGGTGATTTAGTGCATGAATGAGGTAGAGTGCAAAGGTCATATCCGTTGCAGGCAAGTAGCTCAACTTCACCTTCATGCAGAAGGAGCAAAATTTGAGCCAGTAGGGCTCATACGTTCGGATGGTGGAAGGGGCACGGACATGGGTGATTACGTGTAGTAGTTGCGTTTGCAGCTTCGTTATAATGCCTGAAAAGGTACAGCGTAGAGTACAATTATTATTAATTTTTATACGTGACATGCAATGCAATCATCTTACTAGGAGGAAAGCCTTGTCCTACGAAAGCGAGTGCGTGTGTGCCGGGGCGTAGGCATTGGCTGCCGTGGGTGAGGGGAATGTGTGCCGTTACTTCTGGCACCCAGGCGTCAGGTGCCTGTTGGAGGAGTGGCCACCATGAGGCTCCCGGCCACTCGGGAATGACCAAGGTTACCTCAGCGTGCGTGCATTTAGCGTGTCGTAATGTGGCTGGAATAAGGTTGGGAGGGGGAAACGCAAAGCCGCGCTCGTGCTGCCAGCTGAACAAAAAAGCGTCAAACACTGTGGCCGTAGGGTGTGGAATCTTGGAACAAAACCTCTCCAGCTGAGCGTTGTGCACATTTGCGAAGAGATCGATAGAGTGGGGACCCAGGCGGCGATCCAAGAGCCGGAACCACAGGGCTTTGAGGGAGTAGTCATCGTAGTCTTGGATTTTTGAAAGTTCGTCGGCGTGCGCATTCAGCTCTCGTGGGATCCATTCGACAGCTAATCTTGTTTGGTGTTCCAAGCAGAGGCGAATGATTGCTTGACATAGTAGCGTAAGCGAGGGGTGGCGCGATCCACCTTTGCATAGGATGAATACCACGCCTTGATTGTCTACCTGAACGAGCACGTGGCGCTTGGGTATGCGGGCAGCGAAAGTTCGGAGAGCCCATAAAAATCCTTCGAGTTCCCGTCGAGTGCTGGAGGTGGGCAGTAGTTCCTCGGGCATGCGAGCATTGGCTTCAATGGGCGTCCCAGGAAGTTGTGTCAGGGTGGCGCCCCAGCTGTGTGTGCTTGCATCGACGTGGATGACGGCATCGAACTGGTGACTGAGATGGAATGGGTTTCCGTTGAACTTGTCAAACTGCGCAAGCCAAAAATGCAGCTCGTGCACTGCTGTCGACGACAAGTGTGCCTTGGCATGCCAAGAGGTGGCGTCTGCAATAAGTCGAAGGAGCTCGTGACTAAATGCACGTGCCGTAGCGCCCAATGCCAGATTCATGGAGGCCAGCATTCCTGTGATTCTCGCAAGGGACCGGATGGGAACCGGTCGCCCCTCTTGTCCCTGGGTGATGAGGGCTTGGAGTGAAGCAAAAAGTTGTGCTCGACGTTCGAGTCCGATGGAGAAGGTGCCTTGGGCGGCATCAATCTCCAGGCCGAGGAAAGCTATCTGGCGCAAGGGGTGTAGATGTGACTTTTTGCCATTTATAACAAAACCTGCTGCCTTCAGGTCCTGAACAACAGCTGCGCAGGTCGAGCGTGCATCCGAGTGGGAGTTGCAGAGGAATAGTATGTCGTCAACATATGGAACAACCCGCACACCGCTTGCCCGCCATCGCTTTGCCAGTTGTTTGATCAGTTGTGTGAAGACAAACGGGGCAGTGGCAAGCCCGAACGGGAGCGATATGAAGGAATAGTAGTCTTCTTCGAAATGGAATCCTAAGAACTTCCGGTAGGAGGGGTGGATCTCGACATGGTGGTAGCCTGACTTTAGGTCGATGGAGAACATCCAATCGCCTGGGCGGATGAGTTCAGCTACCCTGTTCAAGCCTTCGTACTTGAACCTGGGGATGTCGAGGTAGTTGTTGACTTTGAGCAAGTCAAGAATGAGGCGACACTTGTCGCGCTGCTCCACCACGTTAAGTGGACTGACACACATGAGCGCGTCCTTCGTAGGGACCTTGACGGCGGCACCCGAGGTGACGAGGTCGCGAATCGCTCCACGAGTGAAGTCCAGGTGTGTGCAAACTCCAGCATGATTGCTATCCTCAAAGGCATGTGGCACGGCTTCCTTCCAGCTTCCAGGGAAGCCAATATCCTTTCGCGATGATGGACAGGATGAAACTGCTATCGCACCATGAGCACCACCAGTGTAGGGCGTGACACAATCGACTTGTAGGGGTCCTTGTCTGTAACCGCATACTCGTAGGGGTCATGTTTGTTGTGTAACCATCCTTTCCCGATTTCTGCTAGACCAAAGGGTCGGGTGGCAAGAATCACATAGGTACCCAAGTGAGTGAGACCAGACAATTGCCTTAAGGGTGGATGCGTCATAGTCAATTCCAGGGGGGGCATAGCTCCCATTCAGTTGGCAAAGCGAGAGTGGCTCATGTTCAATTGCAAAAGGGGCATAGCTGATATTCATGCCTTCTCCCTTCAGCGCTCGAGCCTTCGTCACCTCTCTCTCTCTCTCTCTCTCTCTCTCTCTCTCTCTCTCTCTCTCTCTCTCTCTCTCTCTCTCTCTCTCTCTTTCTCTCTCGCTCTTTTTCTCTCTCTCTCTCGCTCTCTCTCTTTCTCTCTCTCTCTCTTTCTTTCTCTCTCTCTCTCTCTCTCTCTCTCTCTCTCTCTCTCTCTCTCTCTCTCTCTCTCTCTCTCTCTCCCTCTCTCTCTCTCTCTCACACTTTCTTTCTTTCTCTCTTTCTATCTCTCTTTTTCTCTCTCTCTTTCTCTTATGCTCTTTCCTTTTGCTTTCTCTTATGCTCTCTCTCTCTCTCTCTCTCTCTCTCTCTCTCTCTCTCTCTCTCTCTCTCTCTCTCTCTCTCTCTTCTCTCTCTCTCTCTCTCTCTCTCTCTCTCTCTCTCTCTCTCTCTCTCTCTCTCTCTCTCTCTCTCTCTCTCTCTCTCTCTCCTCTCTCTCTCTCTCGCTCTCTCTCTCTCTCCTCTCTCTCTCTCTCTCTCTCTCTCTCTCTCTCTCTCTCTCTCTCTCTCTCTCTCTCTCTCTCTCTCTCTCTTTCATCGAGGCCTTGCAAAAGGTTTTTTTTTTTTTTTTTTTTTTTGCAATCTTAGCTTCAATGCGCCATAACGGCATGCATGATCCATACATGGAATAACACAAGATTCTAGGCCCACGGCCTTCTCTGCCCCTAGGGCTACCCTAGTCTACTAGGCCATTTGCCTTGTCCTAGGGCCGGCCACCAGCCATGCACCCCCGGTGCAGCCCAATATGCTTCTTGCATATTGGCGAAGGGCACCGCCCTTACCCCCGCTCACACCACTGGTGAGGGGCCTTGTGCTCCACGCCCGCCCATGGGGCATGCGTTGGCCATGTGACCTGGCTGGCCACAGCGGAAGCACAAGCCCTTGAAGCGTGGCTGCTGGCACGAGAGAGGGGGGGGGCCTTTGAGGTCCATTTCTCCGTCACGGCAGCCGGGACGACCACCACGGGGGTAGATGGCGCGTGCGCGCTTGAGTGCAGCCATGTCGGCGACCGCCAGCTTGTAGGAACGGGACGTAAGCACACTCTTAGACTGGTAGAGCTGGAAGCGATCAGCGGCCTCAAAGCCGGCCTCATCCGCCACGAGAAGCACCTCGAAACGCTTATTAATAAGCGTCTCGATATGTTTCACGTTGTTGAGTGCGCCGGTGACGTTGCCATGCTGCAGCTCGAAGTCGATGTGCTGCAGGTGCGCTTGGATAGCAGTGAAGACTTCGGCCTGGTCGCGCACGCCCTTTCGCATGAAGGTAGTTGCTGCGGGCGTGGGACCAAGGGGGGGAAGAGGGGGGGCGGGGGCGAGAATGCGATGGCGAGCAATATTGGCAGGAGCCTCACCATCATTGTTTTCAGAGTCGTCGCTGTCGTCGGTATCATTGGCGAGTGCGGGAGTCGGTGCCAGGGGCTGGTTGTCGACGCGCGGAGCTTTCGGCGCGCGAGTAGGTGGCGGCATTTCTTTCTTCTTGGCGAAATTGGTCGTAGCAGTTATATTGTCCGAAGATGTTCCGAGCTCAACATTCGGCTGCTGGTGTAACAGCGCCAGAAGCGCCTGGAGCTGTTGTGCGGTCAACGCAGGGGCGGCGGCGGCTGGCACGACCTCGTCAAAGGGCGTGTGCTCGGTGGGGCCCGCGTGGCCTGCAGCCGTCGCGACGTGCGCAGGCGCGTGGTCCTCCGTTGGCAGCAGCCGCGCAAGTTTCTTCTGGAGCAGCGCGATTGGCGCCAAGCAGGACCTCAACAGCCGAGGGCCCCTCGCCAAAAATTTCCTGAGCAGGACGTTTCTGGCGACGGGCGGTTGCCCCGGCCGAAGTTCCGGGCTCCACGGAATTGTTGGGGTTGTTCGTCGGACGATTCGGAGTCGTGTTCGCCGGCGCCATGTTAGCGAGGTTGTGCTGCAAAATGTCGGTGAGGAGCGTCGTCGGAGCCTTGCCTCGGGGGAAGGACTGGGTCTTCGCCAGGTTCGACGAGAAACTACGGAAATTGAACTAGAGAAACTAGAAATGAAGAACGTGGGTAAGGCCGAATGGCCTCACGTCCCTCTTTTGTAGGCAAAAGAGGGTGAGTAGCGCTTCGTCGCTGCCTTTGCTGCGTTGGCCCTCGTTACACTCTCACAATACACATTTTTAGAAAGTGTTACACACTTTAAAAAAATTACATTTCTTCGCAACATTACTGGTTGGAACCAGGACCTCAGATTGGTTTTAAGGTACCTTGATTTCCCAAGGTCCCCCCCCACATGTTTAGCCTGATTTTTCAGGGCTCCCCCTAAAAAAAAAACCGCTGAGTATTAATCAGGGTTACTTCAGAATATCATGCAGATTTTACGAAATTGGGAGATTGGCGGAACGGAACTCGGGGAGGGCAGGGACGGGGCAGAGTGGGTGGTCTCAGAGTTAGAAGTATTGACTAGAATGAGAGTATACAGGGGTATATCGCTAGTGGGTTGTACTCTCTATGGCAAGCCTCTATGTAGTCTACTAAACACACACAAATATGTTTGACACACCCCCTAGACTAGATAGGGGCAGAGCCTGGTGAGAGACAAACAGCTCAGGGCGGCACTACTAGTCCAACCTCTGAGGCAGGGGTCTAAAGACCAGTCAGAAGAGTACAAACTAGGCAAGAACACGTCCAGGGCGGCACTACTTGTCCAGCCACTGGGAGAAAGCCACAAGGCCAACCAGGATAATATATAAAGAGTTATACACAATCAAGGTCCTAGCAAATGAGGTGCTAGAGGAACGAGTCCAAGCTGTACGCAGTGCCACAGATGATCTTTAGACGCAAGCGCCTTCGTAAAGATATCAGCTTTGTTGGCACCTGTGACCAAGTGTACTACGCGGGCCTGGCGGCGCTGCAGCAGCTCGTGCGAGGGAAGTACCGTAGCTGGATGTGCTTCGCTCTGCCCTTGAGTCTGGGCTCCTGACACAGGAGGATCATGGCCCTCTTATCAGCATAGAGAACCGGGGCAGAGCTAGGCCGCTCACCTAAGTATGTCAGTAAGAAAGTTAGCCAACGGAGCTCCTGTGCAGCCATGGCACCCGCGTAGATCTCAGCCTCACAGCTAAACTGGGCAACAGACGACGAGCCGGTGGACCTCCACGAGAGAGAACCTGTACCAAGGCTAAAGGAGTAGCCCTGGGAGGACCTGAGAGTCTCGGCGTCATCTGCCCAAGAAGTGTCTGTGTGCCCGGTAAGGACCAGTGGTCTGCGTCCTCCTATCACTAGCCCCATGCCCGATGTACTTGCTAGATAACGCAAAACCCTCTTAGCTGCAGACCACTGCTGTGGTCGGTGTCTGTCGGAGGCCACAAAGTGGGCCAGGATGCTGAGAGGGTGTGCGAGATCTGGATGAGTGCAAGTCAACAGGTACATGAGGCAGCCCACCAGCTCTGCGTAAGGACCACTAGGCTCTACAACCTACTCTGGAACTGGAGCAGAGAGTCAATGATCTACTGGCAAAGGGGTGGGCTGTGTGGAAGAGATCTGAAGGCCGAACCTCTAAAGGACCTGGCGCACCAAGTGTGACTGTGTGAGAGTGATGGTGCGCGCTGCTCTGTCCTTGGAGATCTGCAAGCCAAGGTAGCGGCATAGCTCTCCTAGGTCAGTGCAGGTGTGTCTCCTCAGCAGCTCGGCCTTCACGGAGGCCAGCGCGTCTCTGTCTGTAGTAGCAAAGACCAGATCGTCTACGTAAACAACGATGTAGAACGGAGTCTGGCTGGAACGGACGAAGAGCGAGGGGTTTGCAGACGATGGGAAGAACTGTAGGTCAGCAAGGGTAGCACGCAGCGTGTTGTGCCACTCACGGGGCGCCTGGCACAGGCCGTAGACGGGGCGCCGGAGGAGCCACTCGGTACCAGGGGAAAGGTACCGGAGAAGCCCTGGGGGTGGCGTAGGTAGACCTGCTCGAGTAGACTGCCCTGGAGGAAAGCTGTGGAGAAGTTGAGTAAATGCATATCGTAGTCACATTGTGCTACTATGTGTAGCAGCACCAGAAGAGTACTCATCTTCGAGGTCGGAGTGAAAGTCTGAAAGAAGTCAACCCCCTCACGCTGACTGAAGCTACGAGCAACGTAGCGCGCCTTGAAGATAGGCGGCTCTCTAGGAGGGCACTTCACCTTGAAAAGCCATCGGCCATCGACTACGTTCACCCCAGGTGGGGGAACTACGTCGACGAAGGAACCGGTGGATCTCCAAGATGCCATCTCCTGCTCCATGGCAGCTATCCACTGAGAGGCCCAGGGTCCCAAGGTGGCCTCAGCGTAGGTGCGAGGGGTCGGGATGTCAAGGGCGTCTGGGTTGCCCTCACGGACTAGCAGCATGGAACAAAGTTGGGGAGCAGCCTCTGACAGGAAAGCAAGCTTGTACTGCCTTTCCTCTAGGACGTCACTGCCAAGGGCAGCCACACCCCCGACGGACGAAGGGCAGGCAAGGTCAAAGTCCAAAGCGGTGGCGTAGTCAAGGCGGCGGGTAGCGGCGAAGTCAGTGACAACAGCAACAAGAGCCGACAGACTCGAGACAGGAACAGACGGGTCGATAACAAGAGAGGCAAGGACATGAGGAACAAGGGGACGCGCGGCACGGAGGAAGTCAGAAAACGGAGGCGGGGCCACAGCGAGCAACGGTGGAGGAGGAGACGGGAGGAGCGGAGGAGCACGAGACGCGTGGGAGCGAAGCAACATAGGGTGAGAATGCGGAACAGGGGAGGCAGGACGAGCACGAGACGGAGGACGAGCCCAGACGTGAGACGGAGGAGTCGGGTCAGGAGAGAGGGGAGGAGACACAAGAGGAGAACGAGGAGGGAAACGAGCAGGAGAAGAGTCCACGAGAGGAAACATCGGGCCATAGACCGGCAGAGGAGGAGGCGGCGGCGACTGAGGAGGCACCGGCGGCCGGTCAGGAGAAGGAAGGCAGAGGAGGCGAAGAGCGGACACAGGCGACGACTGCTGCCCGACGCCAGCACTTGAACCTCCAGCAGGAACACGGCTCCCTCCGTGAAGCCCCACGCCAGCACCCCCAGAATGGGAACCCGCTCCAGTACCCGCTCCGACACTCTCCCCAGCACCCACAGATCGCACAAACCCCAGCGGCGGTGACACCGGCGGCGGCGGCTGCAGCGGAGACGGCAGCTGCGAAGGCGGTTGCGGCTGTGACAGCAACGGCAGCGACAAGGGAGGAGAGATCGGGGCGGGGACAAGCAGGGAAAGGGACTCCGCCAAGCCGCGAGAGTCAGTAGACTCATCGGCAAGAACAACCGACGGGAGGGGGGTGACGTGAGACACACCAGACGGGGCAGGGCGGAGAGGGGGGGGAACAGGGGCGACCGGGGGAGGGGGGGGAACCAAAAACTGGGGGGGGGGGTGACCGGAGGACCACGGTGGGGAAAGCGGTGGTAGAAGGAGATGGACTCGTCAAAGGTGACGTCGCGAGAGTGAAGGAAACGGTGAGATGGCAGGTGGTAGAAGTGCCAGTCAGATGAGTCGAGGGGGAAACCTAGAAAGACACAGGGGACGGTGCGGGCAGTGAGCTTATCCATGCCAGAGGCACAAACGTGAGCAAGGCAACCCCAGACGTAGAACGCAGACGCGTCACCAGGAGACCCGGTCTAGAGGAGAGTCGGCGAAACCTGCGGCCGCTGAGGGTGCGGCCACAGGTTAAGCTGGTGGGCGGCGTAGCGAACAGCGAACGGCCACAGAAAATGGGGTGCACCGACATGGATCATGGAGGTACGAGCCACCTCCATGACCAAGCCGATGCGTTGCTCAGCGACCCCATTCTGCTGCAGGGAGTCCAACAACGTGTACGTCTGGGTGATGCCCTCTGCACGACAAAAGCGACCAAGGCAGCCAGAGGCGAGCTCGCCACCACGGTCGGAGTGAACACGCAACACAGGGAGACCTCGGTGCACACGCGCAGAGACGGGGCAGAGCGGTGCACCATGGTGGGGCACGGTGCAGGACGGTGGAGAGGGCCGGTGAAGTGGGCGGGGACCGGGAAACATAG